CCCCCGACGAGGTTGCATCATCCCATGTGAGACTGGAGATCTACCACTGAAAGCTGTGACTTGATAAACTCACTTCCCTACAGGCAAATACACCGCTGCCAGCAGCGGCAAGGAGGGCTTTGGAGATGCTTTTGAGGCTAGTGGGGAGGGGCAGGACATGTTCAGTGCTCTTTCGAGCACCTCTTCAAGGCTGTAAAACCTGGTCTGCTTCACATTTTGTTCCATGAGGGCCTGGAGCAGCTTTTGAAACACTGTTGGAAAGAGTTTTACCCCATCTTGCCTGCCTGGCTGGTGTGTTTTCACCACCCAGCAAAGTGTTGTGGAGACTGGAAAGCATAGTTGTGGACAGCCAGTGTCAACTGTGGGTCATTTTTCCTTTTGCAAGCTGAACCTTCTTTGAGTTGAGTCCTTTGCTAAAGCAGCAGTTCTCCTGTTCCTTCCATTTAGTTTGCAATGCATAAAAGATAAAACTGTGCAGCAAGCAATTGCTGGACACATTTAAATACCAGAGACTCATATAAACTGGTTAAATGTGAGAATTCATATTAAGAATCTAGAACTGATTCTGATTTTGTAAATATTTTTGAAGTTCAAAAGCTTGCATTCTCGTGGATGTTTGTGTGGTGCTTGCAAACACCAGTTGTGATTGTTCGTTGTGACAGAGTCATTTCTAGCTTGCATTTTATTAACTACTAGGCTATCTACAGGAATCTTTGCTCTCTTTGCTGGAGCATTTGTGAGGTCTCTGTTCCCCACCTGAGGTGGGGGAATCCCTTTATCCTGGCACTAAGAACCCCTCAAAGGTGTGTTATCTGTCAGGAAAAGTTACTCGCAGCAAGCACTTGGTGTCACCGTGAGTGCATAAGCTTTGTTTTCTACAGTTAAACAAGGCTGAAGAGCACTTCAGCGGGGAAAAGGAGCTCCCCTATCAAAGCTGGTGTTACGTGCCTGCAGGCAGGCTGCAGGCTGGGTGATTTTACTCCATGCGTGGTCCCACCAGTGCGTTCCTGCCCTGCCTGCTGCTCCCCTGGTCGGTGTGAACTGCAGCCTCCCACTGCTGTTGGGAACTGGTCTGACAGGGCAGATGTGCCAAGGTGGGTATCCAGCGGGAGGAGGAGAGAAGCACAGTGTGTGTGTGTGAAACCCCGTGCTTGTTGAACTCTGTGCTAGGCTGCTCTTTGTAACTGCTCATTATTATTATAATGAGCTATCTGCAAGTTGCATCAAGTTTTGTCAGAAACTCTTGACATTTTTGTTTCAATATTATGAAAGTAAACAGTAATCCAGGCTTGGCTACATGAAGCCATTCAAAGGAAGGCCAGGCAGTAGGTTCTGTGGACCAGTGGGCAGGGTGGTATTACTTGTCTATCTGGCCAGGCGCTTGTCTCAGCTGGCTAAAGCAGTGTTAGAGGTTTAAAACTTGTAATCTCTGCCTGATTAAGAATAATATGTTATGGCTACAGAGAAGAGGCTGGTGCTGTGCAGTCCCTTGAGTTGCTGCAGGAGGGCCATGAAGATGCTGCAAGGGCTGCAGCACCTCTACTATGGAGACGGCCTGAGAGAACTAGGCTTGTTCAGCCTGGAGAAAAGAAGGCTCCAGGAACACCTTGTAACAGTCTTCCAATACCTGAAGGGGGCCTACAGGAAATCTGGATAGGAACTTTTTACAAGGGCATGTAGTGACAGGACAAGGGGGAATGGCTTTAAACTGACAGAGGGTGATTTACCTTAGATCCTAGGGAGAAGTTCTCCCCTGTGAGGGTGCTGAGGTGCTGAGAAAGGTTGCCCAGAGAAGCTGTGGTTGTCCAATCCCTGGCAGTGTTCAAGGCCTGGTTGGATGGGGCTTGGAGTAACCTGCTCTAGCAGAAGGTGTCCCTGCCCGTGGCAGGGGGCTGGAACTGGATGAGCTTTAAGGTCCCTTCCAGTCCAAACCATTCTGTGATTCTGTGGTATGACCTGGGAGGTGAAAATGCCTTGTCCAGTACATTGAGCTCAGGGCAGGTATCCTTACGTCAGGATGCTGCATCCACCCATCTGCAAGGCTGCCCTGGGGCTGGGAGGCATCAACACTGCTGCATCTCCTCAGGATTTGTATCTCCCTGGCACTTTCCTCTTGACCGCAGATTTCACATGATGCCAGGACATCTGCAGAGTTCAGTGTTTGACCATGTTCAGTGCTGTCATTTAGCAAACTCTTCTGGAGGGCAAGTGGAATGTGTGTTTTTGCCTTTATTTCTAAAGTGCAGTATGTAGGAGCCAATATAGTGCAGCAGGGTTATTTGTGTGAAAATTTGCTGTTTCTTGTTTATGAGATAATGTAAGATCCCAGAATGAAATTCTTCTAAGGTAAAAGGCCTGTCAATCTTACTAATTATTGCTAATAATAGTAATTATCATGTGAGCACACTGCTTGCCTGCTTTATGGGTTTAGGCAAGTCAGTTCCCTAATAGATGGCTGTAAAATGAGGAAAATGGTACTTTTCCTCAGTGCTGAAAGGTGTTGCTCTGTGAGTGCCGTGTGAGTCAGAGGTGTTTTACCAAGGCAGCTGTATGGCAGGGGCAGCAGGGGTCTGTGTTTGGCAGAACAGGGTGTGAGCAGGGGCTCATGGGTTGTGCACTGGCTGAGGAGGAGGTTTGCAGCGAGGTGAGCTTGTTTCATGTCACAAGGCCATCAGCTGCCAAATGCATCTGATAACATAAATGTCTTTTAGACCCAGTCCAAAACATCACTTTTGCCTTGTTAGCTTTGGGTCATAGGCTTCTGCCAGTGATGCTATGCTACGGAAACAACAGGAGCAGAATTTGGGGTGTTTCTTTCAATCTCAGCACTGCCAGGATCTGCACACTGGGATGCAAAGTGGGATGTACAGGTCCTTATTCACCTTCTGCAGCTCCTTGGGAGATGCTTACGCCTCCCTGAATTAGGGATTTCCTTTCCTACAGAGATCCTTGCAGCAATGGAGTTCAGGATTTGTCCCTTAATTATCTCTGCTGCTTCCAACCATAATAGTGGTGTGTGGTCAGGGTGGTGGCCAGTGCTTCTCTGCCTGAAGCAAATGCCCCAGCTCTGCACTGGTGATGGTGTGAGCAAGGTGGAAGTACTTCATCAGCACATCCAAGGCAAGTCCCTGTTCTGGGAGCAGCCACTTGACTTCCATCATCTAAAGACAAGTTGTGTATCAGTTGTGGGTCTGGCAGAGCCAATGTGTCTTTCAAAAAGCCATTCTGGCCTTTTTTCTTTTCTTCCCTCCTTTCCATTTACCCTTCCTTTACCTTTCAGTGGAGAGGTTTAAAACAGCTTGGATAAGCAGTGGGGATGATCCAGAGGTGATTGCTCCTGCATCAGTTGAGAGAGGCCCTGTGACCCACTAATTGCTGTCCCAGCCCCGTGCCTTGTTTGTGTGACATGTAGGCTGGACCAGTTTGACCGAAGAGTCCCAGAGGAGATAGGACAGTCTCAGTGCATTGCCCATGCTACCAGGCTTCTGGTCCCCACCAGAGCTACCAGGCAGCTGGACAGACAAACAAGAGCTGACTCCACCTACCAGCAGTATGGAGACAGCAGCCTGTGAGATCGACAGCGCAAGAATGTGCACACAAAAGAAGCATTTCCCTCAGCCACGACAGTAAAACCGCCAGACAACCACATGCAGCATGTGATTTCCCAAAAGCATCAGCCCAGATCCCAGCTTCTTTGTGCCGCACACTGTTTCCCAGGATCAGATCACAGTGGCAACGTGTAAAAGGCATTTTCAGGCACTGAAAATTAATTATATTTTCCTCAACATTGTTTATGGAAACCCTGGAGAACGCTCCTGCCCCTCTGTGCTTGGCCAGCTGGCTCAGCTCACCGGCCCTTGGAGTCAAACCCTCTGCAAAGGCCAGCCATGTTTATGGTGGAGCCACTCACTCTGCCTTGATGAGAGTCATCCAGGCTTACTCTGTGGAGTAGAGGCTTAGGCAGCGGCCAGGGGTCTCATCTGTTGACCTGTAAATACAGAGCCTCTTGCCCTCTTCCTCACTCTGTGTCACTGCTAACAGCAGCGGGTACACATAGTAGGCACCACGCACTCTGCTTGCCAAGGCTGCAAACAGCTTGTAAGATCCCCCAGACATTTGGGAGCTTTGGCCAGTGGGACTCTGGCACAGAGTGGAAATAAGGTGAGACAGGATGAGTGCGGTTTCCCTTCCCCTCACTGGTTTTCATTGATAAAGTGGCGTTGCTTTCAGTGGAGCAGTTCTGGTTAAGACAGAGCTGATCTATCCAAGAACTGTTTGGCCTGGGTGTTTTTTGAATTCCTGGCTTTTATCTTTTTTGTTGTGACTCTCTGGAGTCTGTTGTACATTCTTAGCTGTAAAGGGAGCCATCAGTTAATGATGATCACAGGCTTTGTCAATAGAGTTCCAGAATCGCTAATGAAATGGCAAACATTCAAACTTGAAAATGAAATCTCTTGTTCTCAGTGTGATTTTTCTGCCCTTCCCTCCATCATGCGTGCCTTGTACTGCTCTAGTAATGCAGGCAGCTCTGTGTGTAGCTGCTGTGGCATTGCTGAATGTATTAATATTTGTAAAGGTGACAGAACATCCATTTGCAGTGTCCCTTGTTTGGTCCTTCGGAGACAAACACCTTGCTGATTGCAGTGGATGTAAGTCTGCTGTGATTTCACCTGCTAAGGAAACAGTCTTAATTTACAAATGAGCCTTTCCCTCCACCCCAGAATAGTAATTTTTGGGTTTAGATTTCCAGGAACTGGTATCAGCTGGGTTCCATGACCTGTACTTAGAAACAACATTTAGTTGATAAGGAATTTGTTAAGGCAGAATGGAGCTGAGAGCCAAACCACCACCCATTTCTCTGGATTGACCCAGGAGGAGGGGAGGGGCCGGGCCAGGAGCTGGCTATGCAGACAGGCACAGCAGGGTGTACTTTCCATTTAGCATCCTGAGTTTGGGTTTGGGCATGGAGCACAAATCCTGACAGTACTATGTTTTAACAGGGAGAAGATTACGAGGAAAAGCGTTCTACAGTGTCAATGGGAAGGTGTACTGTGAAGAAGACTTCCTAGTAAGTAAGATTTCAGGCTTCTTTTTTTTTTTTTTTCTGTTTCTAAACCAAATTGTTCTTTTGTATTGGTTTGTTTGCTTTGAGACACAGTTTAGTCATCTAAGGCCTCCTGCCAGTACTGGAATTGGGAAGCATTTACCACTAACTCCGTAACAGCAGGATCAGGCCCTTGGTTTGAAGTGGTGGCTATGAAACCAAGTACATAACTGTCCATAAGCCATCACAAAGTGTAAATTATGACAATAAACACTGGAGCTGCTCAAGCCTGGGACTTGAATTGCAGCCACAAAGGCTTGCCTGCCAAGCTAGAGCTCAAAGTCAAACACCTGGGGAATACCAGTCATAACAAGAGGGGAGACGTTTTTGACTGGCGCACGTCATCGCCATGTACAATGTTGCTTTGTTGCAGGCACAGTTTTAATCACCACCGTGCTCGGAGTGATGTGGAGCTGCATTGTGATTAGCTAAAAACTGTTAGCCACGGAGGAGCAACTGATTTTCTCTCCGTGCACACAGAGCTTTCATAAATGCTTTACTTTAATAGGGACTAAGTCATGAAAAGAAAAATGAAGCTTGTTGCTGAACTGTGTTGTTCCAGAAATAAAATATTTGTGCAATTAGGGGTGAGGATTGTGCAGGACACAGAGAATGATTTGATAAGTGGCAGACCATTTATAATTAAGAGGACAGCATGTCTGGGAATTGAAATGAGAGAGGAATGATATATTTTACCTTAGAGGATGAGATGTTACTGGACAGCCAGTATGTTGAATGTATACTTTTATTTACTGAAATACCAGCTTGGGTCTTCCAGAACTACTTTCCATTTCTAATGAAAATATGGCTGTGCTTTTTGCAAAGGAATTATTCAAAATACATCCCACAACAAAAATGTTACTGGCGGTTCAAAGAGTGTGCAAATGCATTTCTCATCAATTCAACCCATAAAACTCATGGAAAGTCCCCAGAATACAAGCCATATTTGCCTTCATCTGTGATACCTTTACTCTCAGCCTTCCACAGCTGGACCATGTTGAAAAGAGCAAATCATATTTTGTGCAGAAAGTAAGTTTCTTGTTATAATTTAAACGTGTTACTGTTTTGCTGGCATTTAGGAGAGAAAATGAGTTTTCTCCCTTGCTTTTTCAGCTTTTTTCTCTTCCCCCTGTGTTTCTGCAGACGCATGGAGAGAGGGGGAAGAGGTGGTGTGTGAGGTGGAGGGGCTCAGACCTTTGAGATTTTTATTTTGAACTGTGTACTTTCCCCATGGCCAAAACCTTTCATCCGGACTTACTGAAATTATTATTGTTACTAGCTTGTAATTCCAGCCTAAACATGAGAATTTAAAAATTTAAAATCTCAATCTGTTGGAGAACATTCCATTTTCAAGGGATGGGGAGCCTCTTTGGTTCTTCGACATGTTCTGTAGTCAGCTTCTGAAGGGAGATACTTGCAGTGATTTTTCCCAAGAGATTAAGGGCCTGATAGGAATAAATTATGCATGTTAGGGAACTGTTGGGACATTTAAGACACAGAGTCTTAAAAGTCCAAACCTCCCACAAGTGCATCTTAGCAGATTCCCAGTAGTACAGGAATGGGAAAGAAGCAGACCAAGGGACTCTAGGCTGTGTATGTCAGCAAAGAAATCAAATTCTGACATTGTCCCTGCCTGCGTTAAGCCAGCTGCTTCTCAGAACTCGATTTCATCTTCTCTCAGTTCCCCTGAGCAAATGTTATAGCAAGATTACTAGGAATTGTCTTGTTTCCCTAATAAAATAAACCAGCTTTGCTTATTTTTGAGTTCTGTGGACAGAGAAAGCTCAAAGCTTCTCTCAAAGTTGGAGGAAAAGGCTGCAAAGTGGCAGTTATAAAGGAAGTTATTTAGCTACTTCATTATTTCCATATTTCCTCTTGCCCACTTGGAAACTTCAGTCCTAACAAGAGGTGTTTTTCAGTCCAAAGCAGATAGCCAAAGATTTTTCTGTTTAACAGAATTCAGTCTCTATTGTAACTCAGTGCAATTTTATACATGGATTCCCTGCTGACAGTATGGTAGTGGGCTATCAGGGATGTCATTCTTAGGTAAGAACATAGGAAAAAGATTATTTTAATTTGGAGAGGTAACAGAGGTAGTCTACCTCTGTTATGATTGTATTCCAGCTAATAAAATACTGTCCAAGTGGTATCCTTGCTGTTCCTTAGCTTCTGCTTGCCTGGAAGTTGATCAGGAGAATTAGATGTTCCTATAGGTATTGGAGCTGGGTCACAGCTCTTCAGAGTTGTGACCCTGCAGCTTGTGACCTGGTTATGTCAAGTATGACACAAAGATAATAGGAATTGGAAAGCAGAGCAGCTTCAGAAAACTGGGCAGGAGGTACCGTGCTATCAGGCTGGGGTCAGTGGTGAAATCCATGTAGTAACAACTGAATTGGAGGGGCCTGTGTGTACATGGTTAGGCTTGCAATAGCAGGATGCTCTTTCAGTGGATTGCCAGGGACAGATGTGAGGATTTGCGCTGCTCACAGTCCTGCTGAAGCAGCAGTGGTTTGAGTGATCCCCTCATTTGCCCTTTCAGCAAGAGGCATGCTGATGGGAAGCAGTTGCAAATGTAATGCCAACTGGGAGCAGGGGTGGTAGGAGTCTCCCCACTACCTGGAGGAGAACCCAGCCCCTTCCCATGCTCAGCAGGCAGCATGGAGGGCTGTAGTTTTTGCAGAGCTCTGTCCCTTCCAATTGTTACCTCTGTGTATCTCATGAACGTGATGCAGGTGCTTCTTCCCCTTCATCCCTGACATCATTCTGGGGATGTCCTGCAGGCCAGGCCAGGCAAGACACAGGAAATTGTCAGTCCCACTTTAGGGTTGTAGTAAATAGCACATGAACAGTGATGGGTGGAAAAGCTGAAGCTGTTCTTGCTGTGAACCAGTCAGTGTAGGAAATTTTAGGGAAGAATTTATATTATTTATGGGTTTCTTCTTACTGTAATTGTCAGAAATGTTTAACATCCTACAGATGTCAGCATTTTAACTCTACTGTAACACTGCTGTTTCTTGCATCAGAACAGCTCCTGCCAGAGCACAGTCCCCAGAACTGTGGTCAGTGGCTTGTATATGATACCTGGCTCTTTAACTCCCACTCAAGACAGGTCAGCTCTTTCCCTCTATCAGAGGTGATGCGTGGAATTTGCTGCAGTATTGCATATGGTGCATGAAGGCAAGACCTTGAGAAAAGTAATTACCTGATCCTTAGAAGTGCCAGAGTTGTTTCCAAACAAATCGGTCCATAAAAATGTGACATAAGGAGCTGTTAGTGTCAAGTGTTCAAAATTGGGGCCTTTCTTTGAAAAGTGCTTTTGATTTCTGGACAAAAGGTGTTAGAAAAATGTAGATGTTAATTCATTATGAGCAATTTCCACTGCACAGCCATAAAGCTGTCCAAAGTGCAGATACACCTATCAAAACCTTTGGCAATAGCCACAAGGTACATTCTTCTAGCAAATAGTTTTCCCACATGTTTGCTCTTACTGAGGACACAGATTATCTTTGAATCAGGCAGCTTGTTTTTCTCATTCTTTTCAGGAAAGAAATGCTAGAAGTTCTTAGACATGCTTGTGGAGCCGTGGATGGGGAAGGGATGCTGCATGCCATAGTCATCCTCATACATCCTTTGCTTTAGCTCCAGGGAAGATCCAGTCACACTTTTTCATGCCACCTTAAAGTAGCAAGTCCAGCAGTATCCAAGCCTTGCCTTAGCCTTGTTAGGATGGTTATTTCATGAAAGGAAATAAAACAAATGGCAGTTTAATCCTTCCCTGAAAGCTGTTCCGACATAGATGGGTAACTAGCCATAACAGGGACACTGTTCCTGGTGCAGTGAACGAAAAATAAATGCCTTTCTGTGTAATAAATAATCCCAGTCAGATGTTCTTGTTCCATTTTGTTGATAAATTGCTGTATAATCATGGGTGATGGAATAATAATAATTCTGTCTTTCCCTTTCAATGCTTAAATATGTAAAGAAATTTAAAAGAAATTACCGTTTTTCTTGGCAAAAAAGACTTAAAAATGTCACCAAAGCAACCTGAATCTTATATCTATTATCTTTTCTTTTTGCCCCTTTTTTTTTTTTTCCTTTTTGAAAAGTTTTCCCTTTTTCTCTTGAGGTAATGAACATTATTGAGTGGGGGTCCAGTAGAGGTTAAGAAACTGGAGAATTTCCCTCCAGGGAGGAGATGAGAGGGGTAAAATGAACCTCGTGACAGATGTTAGTTACATTGCTTAATGCACTAGTGGAAGACACTTAGATGCTCTGAAAATAACCAATTACAGACGCCACAAGCTGCAGAGCATAGCATTAAGGTCATCCAAACCTTCCTCTTTTAAGATTACCTCTTTCACTGTCTTATAACTTTGCCAAATTTAATCATCTGGGTTGAACTTCTTCATGCCAGATTTTTGCCTCTGGCTAACCTTACTGTCGTTAGTTGTTGAAAGTTTTACTAAAGCTGTTCATCCATTTCAGTAAGACTGGAGGAAAATCTGTCACTTTGCCCATAAATCCTCAAAGAGAAAAGCTCTAAAAACTTCAGTTTGCATGTGCCAACCAGAGAAAGAGACTTAGTGCATTGTAAGCCTCCAGGCCCTTGCAGGTTGCCTCTCGAGTCTTCCTTCTCCTCTCAATCCACTTAACAAAAGTTGGCTACAGAGAACATACAGGGCCTCATCTTCCACCCACAACTGTAAAACTCCCAATGATTTAAATAGGTGATGAGGGTGTGCGAGATTGATAGAGAGGTGGCAAATGGAAATGGTGAACCTTTCATGGGGAGAAAGGAACAGGATGTCAGTGGGGGACCATCTGAGTGATTGACAGTTCAGGAGAGCAGGGCTTGTGCCCTCATCTCCTGTAGCACCAAATACAACAAGACCCATACCCTAATTTGGGCCTCTGGCCATGGCTGCAATGTAAATATTAACTAGGCTATTCTTCTCAGTTTGTGC